TTAGCTTTTACTGAATAATACAAAAACACTCCCTACTTACTTACCTACTTATCTAAAACCAGGACATGAAAATGTCAGCAAAGTTGGCTAATGAGCTTATTACCTAAAGTTAGCTAGCTAGATAGGTCACTCGAATAAACAATTTGGTGATACTGTCTCTATGACACAAGAAATAATGGCCTCATATTGTATGTGTTAAAAGTAGAATAACACTATGAATATATAGATGAATGAATATGTTTCACCTGTAGTTTTACCTATGGTGTGCACCTTTAAACTTTTGTGCACACAGGTCGATTCTTAAAGCTGATGTGTTTCAGATGTGTGTAACAGCTGGCATAATTATGTTTAACTCTAAGAAAAAATAAACCAGCTTTACCAAAATTAGTTAAATAAGGTGATTTTTTTAAATTAAGTAAGGTGATATTTTTTCAACAGAAAACATTATCATGCATTAACCTCTCAATTTGGGAAAAAAAGGGCAGATCTAAACAGAAGTCTATCATTTTTATCTAACTGCAATGCATGATGCACAGGTAAACCTCAGGTGAGGAAGAACTACCTAGTCATTTTCATACTCATTGGCTACATACAAAGAGGCTGTAAATCATCTTTAAAATGTATGCAGGCAACAGTAAATCAGAGAAAGTGTATTTAAAGTGTAATTTATGACTATTTGTAGCCCAAAAACATCCGGTATGCTAACTTACAACAGTGTGCTTTTGTTACAGATACAGACTGTCATGTGTTTCCACCAAAGATCCTCACAACTTCTAGTCAGAAACATAGAAGCAACCCACATACTTGACCTATGACATTTTTCCTGTTGTCAGGACAAAAAAAACTGAGAAATGCTACTGATAGCTATGTGTTGTATTGACATATAGCCTATGCACAGTGGTTTCTTAAGAATAAGCATTTTTAAAGGAGTGGTGAGGTATTTCATGTAAACTTGAAAAAGAAAAGAAAGAAAAGAAAAGAAAACGCCTACTGCAGACACACACATACCATATTCTCAGTTGCCACACTGTCCTTGTATAAGCATTGTCATGTAAATCTGCTCTGCTTCTATCCATAATGCATAAAGTCTATCCATCTGCTTCTATATGTAATGCTAGCCTCAGTAAACATCTGATAATTCCAATCAAGCCTAAAGAAAGATAATAGAAGGTCAAAGATGGAAGATGAATGTAGGGGAGTGGATAGAAGAAGGACAGTGGGAACTTATAAGTGCGATAGAATGCAATTAGATAATGTGAAACCACTTTAATGGAAAGGCAATTTTACAATATAGCAGGTGGCTGGTTGCAAAGACAAGTTAGACAGGTGGCTAGAGATTGAAAGTGATGCAGTGTTTCATATATTTATATGTATGCTTACAAACATGTACCTACTTTGACTTGTACCAAACATTGTACATTTCCTGCCTTGAATCAATCAATGCATCATGTTCACGAGCAGCCAAGACTATGGCATAATCAGTATGACGTGCCATCTGCCCAAACGTCATAGCCATCTGCACTGCAATCAGTCCCTGCCATTCTCTTTCCCTGCTCTTCAATCCCATAATATTGTGTTTCTAATATCAACCGTGATGAGAATTAATGGAATTGTGTGGGGTGAATAATTAACAGATGGTGCCATGGGATAAACACAAATAAATACAATTAAGTTACATCAAGTGACAGATTCCATCACTCTGAGTGATACATAAGGGAGTTTGTTGATCAAACAGGGTTTATAAGGCACTGTAATACTGATTTAGTCATGTATAATAAAGGCTGTCCTTGCAATCATATGGATGGTTACTCTCTTGGTTATTCTGAGGTTGGTGGGTCATGTTTTGTAGTGTCCTTGGCAAGAGAACATTCATCATACATATAATAATAATTTTTCCCTTTCCTATTTACCCCACCAGAGACTATTGTAGCAAGGACGACTCTGTAGCGGTGTGGATTTATTAATATATTAATTTATTTATTGGAACTAAGAACAATAGCACCACCAGTTATCATTAAAAAAATACATGTATGAATCAGAGCCTGGAGCTGATTTCTTTCTAGCCCAGACTGTAGATTCATATAGCATGTCAGTGACAGGTGTAGCAAGTGATTACATATAGTGAACATGGACTTGATTGGGATTATATGTCATGAGACAATATGTGAAATACTGTATGGGGCAACATATGTAGTTACAAAAAAATTGTGATTGCATACATATTTATGCCTATTGCTGTGAAACCCCTTAAATTGTTCTGGCGCAAACATGAGTAGTCACATAATTGGTTGAAAAGCTCACCTGTGTGTAATTTAATAAATTTAATAAAAATGGTGAGTGCCGTATGTTCAAAGTTTGATATTTATTTATTTATTTATTTATTAAATCATGATTGATATTTCTGTGGATTTGTTTTCATAGCTCCTTGGTCTTCATGATGCTGTTTGATTACATATGTTCTCTAACAAACTCTGCAGCCTCCCAGGAACACATATTTTTACAGTTAGATCATGTGACACTTTAACTGCAGGTAGACTCAACTCAGACATCTGATAGGAACTGGTTGCACCAGAACTAATATAGGGGTTTCACAGCTGGGGGTTTCACTCTTTCTCAGTCATTAATTTTTTAAAATGCCTTTGAAACTACAAGTAAATCGACTAAGGATGTCCAGTCAAAGCACAAATTTCAAAAAGGTGCAAATGACAGAAATGTAAGTTTGTGTTTGAATGAAGAAGCTGGCTAACACCAAGCAGAGCTTTTCTATTTACCATGCTTACTATTCAGAAGAGACATGGCATTATTATGGACTTGAAACACTTGACCTGAAAGAAACAGTGACCTATGGATTGTATTTGTTTTCCAATAAATATGCTGCTGTGAGTATGCCTTATAAATTTTGTGCCTATGATGAGCCCTCATTCTATAAGGCTCAGTCCTAATTGTTTCATAATAGTAACAGCAAGTCACTGATAGGTAGGTTTTTATAGCCCTCCTATACAATATAACAACTGGTCATAACTAGCCATAGGCATCGAAATTTACTTACCCATGACAATTGCACTAAAGTGTCTGGAAATTATGAGGCTTGCATAAACACTGTTGTCCTTTATTTGTACTCTTTGAGAGAATAATCATTGTTTTGGTGAATCCACTGAGAGTCAATAGATTCACTCATGCCAGTAGACATGTCAGCCAATTTTTCACTCCAACAGTAATTAACATATACTCTCAAAAGAGAGTGACCTGCATTAAAGAGCTCACAGTTTGCTCGAGCCAGTGTTTGGTTCCACAACATTGCATTTATTCCGTTAATGACTCACATTCATTTCTCCTGTAAATGAAAAGAAGGTCAGGGACATAAGCCAAGCATAAATGGGATTTAGCATACCGGTGTTCACGTCTTGCAAGAAATGGAAAAAGAAAATTCAGTAGTTGCCATTGGAGAAGAAAGAAAAAAATATAAATTTCATAATTATCCGACAAGCATCTTGCACAACTCTCACAAGCGATATTTTCTTTGATATATCAACACACACACACACACACACACACACACACACACACTGTACTGTGCAAAAGTCTTAGGCACCCTACTCTTTTTTTAGTACAAACTTTGTTATAGATTTTTATTTTATGACTTCTACATTATCAAGTCAGTACAAAAACATTTTAGATTTCCAAACATTAGTTTTCCAGCACAAAATTAAATGTTAGGGGAAAATATATGTATGTCAGTAAAGAAAGCAGCATATTACTTAAGAGACCACTTTTCAGGCAAAAAACATAATGAAGGCTGCTGGGTTTTGCTGCAAAAATAAGAAGCAAGTGCGACAGTTGAGGTCTCCAGAAGAACTGTGGCTGGTTCTGCAAGATGCTCAGTAAAACTTACAGCTAATTTCCTTATAAAACTGTACAAATTGTACCTGAGACTAGTAATTTTTTTTTAAGCAAAGGGTTGTCACACAAAATATATACTCTGTTTCATTTATTACTGTTTATTGCTCTTTATAGAATTTTTTTAAATGTAGAAACATTTAATTTCATTATTTTTAAAGCATCTTAAAATTTCTTTGCATGTGCCTAAGACTATATGTATATATACGGTATATATATATATATATATATATATATATATATATATATATATATATATATATATACAATTCTTGACTTTAATTCAATTATTACAGTCCAAATTAATGTTTGTAGTGCAATGTTATTGACTCTACTAGCTTCTCTTATTGAGCTTATGTTTCAGATTCAGTTGCGCTCTAATCACTCAGCATGTTGATCTATAATGAGCAGGTTCCATCGCATTGACCATGTGAATCACGAGACATTCCAGAAAAAAAGTACTGTACATCTAGCATCAGCTTTATGAGTGAAACGTGTGCCTTTACACTGCATGACTGGTGACACCAACTCATTAAAAACTCCTGCAATTGACATCTAATTTAATTTGACAATGCAACCGAATAGAGTTAAGATAGAAGCTGTTAATTTTGTTTAATCATAGACTTGTACACCAAATATAACACTTTTGCATTGACAATTCAGCATAATGTGGTCTCAAGCGCCATGTCAGAAACTCACAAGCTCTCCTTGATTTGTGGCAGCCTGAAACCTTAGAACAATTGATTTTCTCGAGTTTTCTCAGAGTGTTAAGAACAAGGTCTCTTATCACATGAGTGCTAGCTGTGAGAGTGAGAGCTAACAGCCTGCCTACATGACACAGCCCTGACTTGCATCACTCTGTTTTGACAGGGAGAGACACAGACAAAAAAGCTTTAGACACACATGGAGAACATGCCCATTAATTCTTACTTAGACTCTGATTCAAGCACAGCAGTGCCAGTCCAACTCAGCAAATCTGCATAATATATTATATTATATTATATTATATTATAATACAGAGAGTCTAAAACTATTCATTAAAAACACAACTGTAACTTAGTATAAATATATCTATAGCATATACTCTCGGTTAAAAGTTTTTGGACAGGGTGGCTCAGTGGTTAGCACTGTTGCCTTGTACCTCCAGGGTTGGGGGTTTGAGTCCCGCCTCTGCCCTATGTGGGTGGAGTTTGCATGTTCTCCCCTTGCTTTGGGGGTTTTCTTTGCGTACACAGGTTCCTCCCCCAGTCCAAAGGCATGTGTTGTAGTTGTCCCCTGCCTTGTGTCCTGAGTTCCCTGGGATAGGCTCCAGGCTACCCCACGACCCTGTGTAGGATAAGCAGTATAGAAAATGAATGGATGGATTTCTCAGTCCACGTAAACCTATTCCATTTTAGAGTATTGCCAGATTTCAGATTTTAGAGTATTGCCAGTGAGGTCTATTAAACAAAAATGCTAAAATATAGATTGTTTAAAAACCTTAGTCTGGCAGATGTGACGAGTTAGACCTTAGCACACAAAGAAACACAGCACAGAGAGGTCTTTGGTTAGGGGAATGTGCTCTTTTATTTACAGTGATACGTTGTGCAGCAGTAATTCAAATGTGAAGGGGCTGGTGAGGTTGAGTGCAGGTGAGGTCGCCTCCGAGGTTGGTGCGGCAATCTCCGTGTTGCAGCACGCTGAGGAGACGGAGGGTTAGTGGTGGCAGCTTTTAGAGAGCCCCAAGCACAGCAGGAGGAGAAAGGGGGCCGTCTTCCCCACTGACATTGACTTCTGAAAGGAGAGAGAAAGAAACAACTGTTAGTGGTGTTGAATACTTCTCCTACCTCTCCTGCTGCGCTGCCACAGGCTCCTTTTATATCCCTCCTGCTCCTCCAGGAGGGTAGATTGTTGCCGCGATTGCCGAGATTGTCTGCCAGCCGTGAAGAATTAATTTGTTCTGCCTCGTGGCCAAGCGCACTCCAGCTGTCCAAAACAATAGGGGTGCTGAAGTGGCACTGTTCTTTCAGCACCCTGCCGGCAGTCATACGAGGATCGATGTGTGCCTTTTGTGCGCAGGCTGTCTGCCCGCCGTCACAGTGCCCCCCGAGCTCCGAGCCTACTGTCGGTGAGCATTGCGCCCAGAGTGAGTAGCGCCTGGAGAGCCCATCCGCATTGCCATGTTGTGTCCCCGAACAGTGTTCCAATGAGAACTCAAAGTCTTGGAGAGAGAGGAACCAGCAGGTGACTCTGGCGTTGGTGTCCTTGGCCTTGGACATCCATTGAAGAGGTGCGTGGTCTGTGACGAGGGTGAAATGTCGTCCGGCTAGGTAATAGCGTAGCTCCTCAATGGCTCACTTGATGGCCAAGGCCTCTCTCTTCATGGCAGCATATTTATGCTCTGCGTGGGACAACTTTCAGCTCGCATAGAGGACTGGGTGCTCCTCCCCATCGATGACCTGAGACAGGACCGCCTCTAGCCCTGTCTTGGACATGTCGGTATGCCCAATGATGGGTAGGGTGAAGTTGGGGGTCCTTAGGATGGGCGAGCTCGTCAATGCTTCTTTCAGTCTCTTGAAGGCTTCCTCTGCCTCCCGACTCCACTGCACCCGGTCCGGCTGGCCTTTTCTGGTGAGATCAGAGAGGGGAGAGGCAATCAAGGAAAAGTTAGGGACAAAACGGCGGTAATAACCGGCCAAACCCAAGAAGGCACTTACCTGCTTTTTCGAGGTAGGTCTTGGGTACTCACCACCGCCTTGATCTTCTTCTCTTGAGGCCTAAGCAGTCCCCGGCCGATGCGGTTCCCCCGGTACTGTGCCTCCGTTAACCCCAGATGACACTTCTTTGTGTTGGCGGTTAGCCCAGACTTCCGGAGTTCCTCCAACACAGCCCTCAGGTGGTAGAGGTGGTCAGACCAGGTGGAGGAATGGATTACCACATCGTCTATATAGGCTGCTGCATAGTGCCTATGTGGTCTCAGGACAATGTCCATGAGGCGCTGGAATGGTGCGGGCGCTCCATGCAGCCCGAAGGGGAGAACCCGGTACTGCCAGTGTCCCCTGGAGGTAGTGAAGGCTGTCTTTGGCTTGGCCTCCGGGCTCAGGGCCACCTGCCAGTATCCCTTGGTAAGGTCGAGCGTGGAGATGAACCGTGCTCCCCCCAGTCGCTCCATCAGGTCCTCCACCCTCAGGAGGGGATACGCGTTGAAGCCTGATACCTGGTTTAGCCCCCGGAAGTCGTTGCACAGCTGGATGCTCCCGTCTGGCTTGGGCACCACAATGATCGGGCTGGACCAGGGACTCATCGACTCTTCAATAATTCCATCTCTGAGCATCCGTTTGACCTCTTCCTCAATTGCCTGACAGCAAGCTTCTGGGACGCGGTAGGGCCGCTGTCTAACCACGACTCCTGGCGGAGTTTTGATGTCGTGGTGGAGCAGATGCGTTCTGCTGGGGACAGAGGAGAAGACGTCAGCAAACTGGTCCACCAACTCTGTCAGCTCCTGGGACTGAGCTGGTGTGAGCTCCTCTCCTTGGTGGACCAAGGCACACTCAGACGGATCTCTGCTAAGTAGAGCGAAAATCCTCTGCTCTCTTTGTGCAGCCTCCATATGCTCCCTCACGACTGGCCTGACACAATCTATCCGCTCCTGCATTTCCTGGACATAATCGATGAGTGAGCGGAAGGGGGAAGGCTGCTCTTCCCACACCTCCCGGGCCACATCCAGCAGTCCCCGAGTTGCCATCTGAAGAGGAGCTCGAACAGGGTAAAGCCGGTGGACACCTGGGGAGTCACCTGGACAGCAAAGAGGTTGTAGGGGAGAAGCAGGTCCCAGTTTCTGCCCACCTCGTCCACCACCCTGTGAAACATCCTCTTCAGGGTCTGGTTGAAGCATTCCACCAGACTATCCGTCTGTGGGTGGTAGATGGACGTCCTCAGGTGCTTAACCTGTAACAACCGACACAGATCCATCATTAATTTAGACATAAATGGCGTACCTTGGTCGGTGAGGATGTCCTTTGCGATGCCCACACGGCTGAGGAGGAGCAGGAGCTAACGGGCGATGTTACGGGAGGTGGCTTGGGGTATCTGGTGGTGTAATCCACAATGACTAGTATATATTCATGACCCCAGGCAGATTTTGGCAGCAGCCCTACGAGGTCCATGCCAATCCTTTCGAAGGGGACGCCGATGATGGGGAGAGGGATAAGTGGCGCAGGAGCAAGCTTCTGGGGGCTCATTCACTGGCACTGGGGGCACTGTTGGCAGAAGACCCTGACTTCAGCACCCATACCAGGCCAGATGAAGCGGTCCTTTGGTTTTTCCGATGTATTTTGAGCCCCAAGGTGACGTCTGAGGGGATGTGAATGGGCCAGGTGCATTAAGGCTCCTCTTCTGTCTCCTAGTCGGATACGTGGCTGCGTTGTCCTTGTTCGTCTCTTCCTTGTCACCCGCATTGCCCTGACTATCTGGAACCCTGGCCAGTCTCGGCCCAGTATTAGAGGAATGGGGAGTTCGTGGAGGAGGCCGACGGTAAGGGGGTGCTTAGAATTTTGGTGTTCAACTGTGACTCGGGCCGGTGGGACTTCTCTGACATCCCCGTGGATGCAGGTTACCTTTAGGAGGCTGGAGGGCCTCGGTGCGTGCAGAACAGAGGGCTGGGCTATAGTTACTGTACTTCCTGAATCCAGCAGTGCCATTACTGGGTGGCCATCGATCTTCACACTGGGAAGTTGTTGGGAGTCGTGGCATTATGGAGTGCACAGCTGGCCAGCCAGGGTTTATCTAGGGGTCGCGGGGCAGCAGGATGCGACTCTGTGGGCATGGACACATCCAGCGGCGTCTCATAGGTGGAGCGAATTGGCCTGGGTCTCCCCTCCCCAGGGGTTATGTGTTACAGGCATCGAGCTAGTAGAGGGCGGGGGAGCTCTCGCCTTTCACCCCTGCCGATTTCCAACGTAGCAACTGCTTGCTCCAGTGCCTCTAGATTGGGCAGTCGTGGCCTAATGGATAGAGAGTCGGACTTGTAACCCGAAGGTGAACCTGAAGGTCGTGGGTTCGAGTCTCAGGTCCGGCAGGGATTGGAGGTGGGGGGAGTGAATGACCAGCGCTCTCTCCCACCCTCAATACCACGACTGAGGTGAGACCCTTGAGCAAGGCACCGAACCCCCAACTGCTCCCCGGGCACCCCCAACTGCTCCCCGGGCGCCGCAGCAAAAAAGGCTGCCCACTGCTCCGTGTGTGTGTTCACGGTGTGTGTGTGTTCACTACTGTGTGTGTGCACTTGGATGGGTTAAATGCAGAGCACAAATTCCGAGTATGGGTCACCACACTTGGCCACACGTCATGTCACTTCACTTCACTTCACTCTACCGCTCCTCTCTTCCCCACGGCTTTCTGCTCCTCGGGCGGCAGAGCCACCCTCTCAGCTACCTCCATAGCCACCCTCTCAGCTACCTCCAACTGGAGCCACCGTTTCGTGATCCTCAGCAGGCTGTCCATTTGGCTCCTTGACGTGGCTTTGGGCTTATATGTCCACTTATGGAGCTCTGCCACTGCGCTGGTGGGTGAGAAGAGGAGTGAGGGCTGGCACCCAGTCTTTCCTGGGCCAGTCTTCCCGCTGGGCAACCTGCTCGAATGTCAGGAGGAAGGCTTCAACGTCTTTGTCGGGCGTCAGCTTAGACAAGATGCGCTGGGCCTCGCACCAGGGGTCGGGGAGGGGGACCGCTGCAGCAGCACCGACCATCTTCTTAAATTCTATAAGCTCTCTGGCGGTGTTTTGAAGTCCACGGGCCAGCTTCTCGGTGTTGGCCTGGTGCTGCAGGAACTGGTGGAAGAAGTTTTCTGCCCCTCTCTCTGTATGCTGTCCTGCCCTCATCCTCCAGCACTTGTGATGAGCGAGACCTTAGCACACAAAGGAACACAGCACAGAGAGGTCTTTGGTTAGGGGAATGTGCTCTTTTATTTACAGTGATACGTTGTGCAGCAGTAATTCAAATGTGAAGGGGCTGGTGAGGTTGAGCGCAGGTGAGGTCGCCTCCGAGGTTGGTGCGGCAATCTCCGTGTTGCAGCACGCTGAGGAGACGGAGGGTTAGTGGTGGCAGCTTTTAGAGAGCCCCAGGAGGAGAAGCAGGAGGAGAAAGGGGGCCGTCTTCCCCACTGACGTCAACTTCTGAAAGGAGAGAGAAAGAAACAAC